TACATCGTCACGGTTCTGTCTTTGTCGGCCTTTCTACAAAATCAATGTAGAATTATTAAACGTTGGCTTCTTAAAAAATTCTTCTCTACTGCTAATTTTCATTGCCAAAGCAATCGGAAAAGTCCCCAGCTTCTTAGTTTGCGAACCAGTGCTGTGCGTTACTTTCAGTCAAAGTATATAGAAAATTTCAAAAAGATTCTTCAACAAACTTCTGTAATCATGCATATTTGTTGGTCTTTGTTACGTATCCTTCTCATTTAAAACAGAAATTAATTTGAGCATCAGGCGTTCGTAAATGAAGCTTTCTGCAGGTCGATGCAACGGTGCACATTTCCGGATCCCATTAATAATAGCGGGCTAATTAAATTTATATCCAGTGAAATATGTAAGCCAGACTTATTCAAAGTCAGCAATAAACTAGAAATATAATTACTGTGGAGAAAAATTCTCGAAAGCTCTTATTTTTGTGCTTTATCGCAAAAAAACTTATTTTTTTTGCTTCTTTTCCCATGCAATCACATCCTAGTATCGTGATTTGTAATTCCATAAGGGCAAAAATGGGACAGGGATCAGCCATTTTTCTGCTTCTACTGCTTATCATCTTTCATTTTTTTTCCGAATAATTCAGTAAAAAGAAAAAGGTATCATTTTAGCTGGTTTTGAGCAAGCCTTTGATAGCTTTTTGAAATGTGCCAAAGATTAGCACTTCATTCTGCTGTTTTTTCATCGTCGCGTTTCTTCTCGCCATTGCTGCAGCTGGCAACTTTTCCCATTCCCGTCCTTTTTGGGCTTCTTTCATCCATATAGTTCCATAAAGCCTTTCAATCGGACCTTTTTCATCATTAGCGGCTTTCGCTCTGTTCTTTTAACACTGCACATGCTGCATGCAAGAAACCGCATTATTCATCTGTTGTCTCTCATTCTTGCCACGTGATCAGCCCAGCTCTCCTTCGTGGTGTGCACTTTCTTGTTTATGTCGAAAACACCTGACCGAAAGTACGGCAGTTTCTTTTTTGATGTGAGCGATATGGAGAAGTAATGTAAGTTTTAAATTGAGTTTCTTCAGATGTGCAGCAGTAGGCTTCCTCCATTTGGTTGTTGCATCGTCAGGCACTAGGCAATTTATCACGAGATTTTGCCTTGCTGAGCACTTTCCAGCTCAATCATATCGGCACCTCGGCCATGTCACACTGCTAAGCTGTGTGATTTAAGCTTATCTGCTGGCTGAAACAAATGCAGTACTAGTAATCTAGCACCTGTATGTGTGATCTGCTCCACGCACCAGCACTCATTCCATTAATTAACCGATACACTGTGCCGTAGCAGTTGCCACACCTGCAGCCAGGCGTCTTCATCCTCACTTGCCATAAATCAACGGTATGACCCAAGTGGAAGAAGGAAGGGAAGAAAGAAAGATCTGAATGCATCGTGAAACTTTTTTTAGATAAATCTTAGCCGAAAAAATGCACTCAAGGCATTTTTTAATTTAACAATGTGTCTAAAGGAAAAAGCAAAAATCATAAAATTGCAAAGAAAAGCAAAAGTCAGAAAATATAGTCACCCTTCTCGAGAAATTTTTTGACCGAACTGATGCATAATCGTGCAAAAAATTCACAAAATTTAGCCAAACAAACATTTTCATGAATTCTTTCACTTCGATTTTTAT